GCACCCGTGTGAGGTGGCCACAGAGCACTGATTGCTGCCACTGACCCCATTCTGGGTGTCATAATTGGGCTTCAGGCAGAAGCTCGGTGGGAGGGAACATGGCCGAGCAAGCAGCTCTCACTGCTTGTTAGAGCTTGGGCCTTCGTCACCTGGGTGGCAGAGTGGTTGTTTATGGCTGTCCTCTGGCACCCCCTTCACTGTGTGCATCATTTTGCTATCAAGGAGGTTAGAATAATTTCTCCATGGAATCCAATTAATTACCAAGTCTGGAAATAACATCTTTAATATTATAGAAAAATTATAGTGTGTGCTTGGGCAATTTCAGATTATGCCTTCGTACTTAAGTAGGGCTTTGAGATACTTTCTACCTTCGTCCTTAAAATAATTCCCCTCGATGTGCTGACTGTCATACTGCAATAGCAGAGTTTAATTAAGTGAAAGTTGAGAGATAATGCTCGCCCATTCCCGGAGCGTCTCCTGATAGTTTGTTAAATTAATGAACAGAGCATCAGCGCCGTGATGCCAGGCAGAGCGGGGCGTCTTATTTGTGACACCTGCCGGTCAGTGATGAGCTGCCGAGGAGAGAGTCCCTCCTTGATCGAGTCCCAGGAGAGCTGGCCAGTCCTTTCACTGAGTGCACCGAGAAAGGCACTTGGTCTAAAACTGAGACACGGCAGCCTGCCTCCTGAGGACAGCAGCTTCCGAGCCTGTGCTCACCCTGCCTGGCCTGGGAGAAGATTGTCGCTGGAGTGCGCCCCGGAACGGCGCTTGGTGTGGGGAGCCACGGCATGACGTTATCAAATGGAGCCATACAGATTACAGACTCCATTCTGTTCCTGATTGAATCTGATTCTCAGCTCTGTGTCTAATGGTTATTACCTAATTTCCATATGATGAAGTCTTGCGCAGCTCTTCCAACGATACTTGACTTGATTCAGCATTACATTGAGCTACTTCTCAGTCTACTCAAAATACTGATTTTCGGCCTCTCTCGGTGCGCTTACCTTCCTTCACTGGGCTCACGCCTGGAGGTCACGCCAGGCTGTGCTTGCGTTTTTCCCTGCCAGCAATTTCACAGGCATTGCCTGTCTCATTTAGTTCTTTCAACTACGATCTGCAGTAGATGTGAATTACTTGTTCTTCGCGGGTTCTTCTTTTCCTCTCATGCCCATTCGAAGGCATCCTTTTTGTTTTCCCGGCGGTCAGGAAGTTGTGGCCGGTGCTCATGAGCTGCACTGCTGCAGTCAGGGAGATGTTCCCGTCAGCTTGCCGCGGTGCTGGGGTTGGAAGGAACACCTTGGAGATTCACTGGGTGACTGAGGGAGCGGCAGTGAACCCCAGAGGAACCCATCCGAGTCTGCTCTTCAGAAAAACATCTTTTTATTCCTGTGCCGTTTCTGTGGGGCATTTTGTCCTGGGCCCTTGTGCTTAAAGGCTTAGCTGTTCAGAGCAGAGCAGGGCCTTGGGAATGGACCGACCTGGGCCTCGTTCCTGGTCCTCTGTGAATGCATAGAGATTTCCACAGCAGCGGCAGCGGGAGGCCCCCAGCCCGGCAGCTGGGACCCGACCTGCCTGAGGGAGCAGCAGCACCTGTGCAGCACCTCGGGGCCTCTGGGAGAGAGGACGTGCGGGCCTGGGACTTTCAGGGGCTGGAACGATTTTACGAAGGCAGGATGTCAATGGAAGAAGAGATTGCTTTTTCAGAAACTCACTGCCCCATTTTTGCCATTCCAGGGAAGGGCAGTGTTTACCTCAAAAATGTTCTGCTGTGGTTTAGGGAACACCTTCCTGGACTTGTTGGTGAAAGGCAGAGGCAATGGGAGGGTGAGGCAGGACCTCAGCTGCTGTGGAGCAACTCTGGAGTTTGAGCAGTACTGCAGTAGCCAGGGTCAGAGGGCATGGACAGCGTCTACGAGCAGAAGGAGACGCTGGGCGGCAGTGAGGGGAGAGTCACAGATGGAGGCTTCGTGGCCTTGTCTTCCTGTGCTCAGCAGTGTCTGCAGGGCGTGCAGGCAGCGTCCAGCAGTTTTCCATCCGAGCAGCACCTCCCGCGACTCTTGATTCAGTGGAGACGTTGCGTGGATATACAGGTGTGCCGGCTCGGCCCTGGAAGCTCTGTGGGGCAGGGTGGGCAGCAGCCCCTGGGCCAGTGCCAGGGGGAGCAGAAACCCACCTCAGAGGGGATCTGTTTGCTGACTAGCTCAGGGACCCCTGGCCCCCGAGTCTTGGGGCAAAGACTGTAGAACTTTCCCACAGAATAAGGGTTGGTGAATTGAGCTGCTTAACTTGGAATTAAAGGAAGAGGCAACAGTAGGAGGAGTGGCTGCTGCCAACTGCACTCACTGAAGACAACGAAGAAGCTGGGGAGTTTAGAAACGTTTAAGCCAGCAACCAAACAATGAAAAATCAAAGAGAAGAGAGTTCTTAAACGTGCTGAACATTTATGAAGACATCATGGACTTCCTGAACCACAACTCCAGGACCCAGCTGTCAAGCCACATGGCTCCATGAGTATTTCTTGATAGAAAAGAAATCATCCTAGAGTGAGGCAGGGGCTTGGCAGAGATGGGCCGAACCCGACTCCCTCAGGATAAGGACACCAACACATGCCTGTCCGCTGCCTGGAACCCTGCGAAGTGACAAGTCCAGGCACACCATGGTCATGTAGCCCTCCCACTGGCCTGCAGTCTCACTTCAAGTCATGGAATACCAGAGCTGTTCGAACCTCGCTTAAGGAGATTATGTAGTGGGGCTTGCATTGGTGAGGGATCCAAGCCGGAGGTGGAAGAGGCTGTGCTGCAAGCCAGGCGATGAAGTCCAAGCCGAATGCGGAGACCAAAGTTTCTCCTACGAAGTGATCGACTACTTCCTCAGCCCCTTCATATAGCCTGTTTCTACTGAGTCACTCTGGGGGCAGAACCAATTGTGCCCCAGGGCGCGACCCCCACCGGCCAGAAGTGCACGGAAGTGCACCCCTGGACTCCCGGCCAAGTTGACATGATGTATCAACCACTATGGTCCACTCCTTGTCAACTTGGCATATTTTAAACCAGTCTCCAGATACAGAGGTATGCATATAATTACGCCTAACATTGTTATAACTATCCTGCATACAAACGGAAATGCGCTAATACCCTTACCCAAATAGAAGGTAAGCTTTTTATGCTTCAATATTAACACAAGTTTGATCATCTTAAAATCTTGTATGGATCACTAGGAGTGATGGTGAGTGGTACCATTCCTGCTCCCACCCCTTGATTCTGGACCCATGAATCCTGGCTATGGGAGACACAGTACCATACAGAGGGCGCTGATTCAAAGCATACACAGCCTTCTGAAGTACCTTACCCCAGCCCTGCAAGCCATTGCCACCTAGCTGGCACTGTAACTGTGTCTTCAAAAGCCCATTCCACCTTTCGATTAATCCAGCTGCTTCTGGGTGGTGAGGAACATGGTAAGACCAGTGAATTCCAAGAGCGTGAGCCCACTGCTTCACTTCTCTGGCAGTAAAATGTGTTCTTGGTCAGAAGCAATGCTGTGTGGAGTTCCATGGCGGTGGATAAGGCATGCTGTAAGTCCACGGACGGTAGTTTTGGCAGAAGCATTACATGCAGCAAAGGCAAATCCGTATCC